AATGTAGATTTCTTAGATATACCTTTATGTTTATGATTTATTATTATATTTAATTTTTTATATGTAATCTTTTTGTCCAATAAAAATATTGGATATTGGGATATTATATGTTTACGCCATTTCTTTTAGAAACCACAAGGTGGCAGTATCGTTACTTTGTAACGTCCTGAACGCTCTCGGGGAAAATTCATACAGTACGGTACATATGCATACAATAGATAGACTTGAACAAACAAAACAAACACGTCAGTTTCTAAGCCGCTGTTCAAGAGACACAACAAAAAAAGACACGCTTTTTTGTTTGTTTGTGTTTATTTATTTCTAATGTGTTTTTTTGTCATTTTCATTTTTTGTCATTTTATTTGTATCTGTCCACAAAGTCATATTAGTCACTACTATGTTAGATCAGGTTTCCCTCACTGCAATGGCAGTCAACTACACGAGAGCCCAAACCCAGCATGGCCCCCTCGCCTCACACCTCACGTGTCCTTTCAAAATAAAATAAGAAAATGAAAAACATAAATACTGCAGTTAAATCACAATCATGTCCTTTTGGTAAAATGTCCTGATTCTAAATCAGGAAAAAAGGTGCATTTTTATAAAACATTATTGGTAACAGTATTGTGCCACATTAGCTTAAGGTTCTTGTGCAAATTTCATATGGAACAGTTTTAAAGATATTTTATCATTTATTCATTGTCCTTTAAACAGACACCAGAATCGATAGAAAGGTGTTCTAGAGGAGTATAGTCTTGGAGATTTAGATTCAAATATCTTGCATGGAAATGATTCAGTTTAGCGCGACTACTTCAACAACTGAAACAGGTTTGCATTTTAAATTAATCAAAAATTGTGGCTTTTTATATTCCCTTGGAAGAGAACCTAGGAACCAAATTTACATTCAATGCAGTGGATGGGATTTTTTTCCCCTTGAAATCTGTCCATCATTAAGTAATTTTTTAATCACTATGCTTCAGAAATGATTGGCATTTTTTTTATTCCCATCTGCCAATGGGAAGAGTCGAAAGGACCATCACTCAGGTTTGTGCTCTCTTCAAAGAAATAAAGAAAAAAAAAGCAAAACACAACATTTCTAGTGCTATCTGTACAACATTCAACAAACACATTTCATTTGTTTTGTTTTTTTTGTGTTTTTTTTCCTTTTTTATCCATTATGCCAAAAACAATTATAATTATCATTATAAGAAGAAGACTTTTCATCTCAACGGCATCAGAACAAACACCACACTGACTGAAATTAAAGTCTAATAATAATAATAATAACATTAATATTAATAAAGGCCTCAATACCAGATAGTACACGTCACCTTCAAGTGGTGCTAGAGATAGACAGCTTTACGGACGAGCGAGGAGGTAAGGAGAAGGACGAGGAGAAGCAAGCTAGAGAGTGGGGGAGAGAGAGGGAGGGGGAGGTGGATTATTCCAGTTTTCTCTGGTTGATATACGCTTTAGTGTCACTTCTGACATGTTTTGGCACCTTACAAGATTAAATACAATATCCGTTAGTCTTAGACTTGGTTTGAACTTTGGTTTACCAAGGGTTAGTACAAGTACCTAATGTTGCCCAACCCTACCGTCTAGATTGATTTCTTTTGCTTTAAACTCATCTAAAGGTTAGGTAGTCGACTCTTTCAAGTTTCTAGCCATGCTAGCTTGTGAATTAGTGGTTCTGTTTAAGGCCAGATCCAACGCCTAAATGGAAAGGACTGGAGAAGGAAGAGTCGGGAGTTGAGGGATGGAGGAATTGTTAAGTTTTAAGGTGATGGAGGAGAACAGGAAGAAGAGTGGAGGGCAGAGAATAAGACGGAGAGAAGTGTGTAGACACGGGGCTAAGTGCTTTTGGTGAGTTTTACAAAATACACCAGGAAGTGCTTGAAACGGAAGGCACGGTGGCATTGACAGTAGTTGTTAAGGAGACACCACTCAGGGACTTTTCACTACACTCGTACAACTCATAAGGTGCTCTAAAAAAGGAACTCAAACACATTAATGCACGTACAGGTGTGGTTGTAATCAAAGGATAGGCCATCAAAGAGTAGTCGTACGTAGTCGTACTAAACTAGTACCAGGAACTTTTAGTGCTGGAATGTTTAGCTTATATATAACTAGATGAGGTTCTGTCGTTTTGGCAGTGACGCCAATGAATCCCACAAGACTCGAGTTCTAAACTCTACCAACATTTTGTAACTCCATTTACAGTAATCATTTCTTAAAATTCTGTGGCCTAACACAAAACTTCCAAAATACTTTGAATGAACTATTATCATAAAAGATATGTGACGCTAATTTGGATTGGACAATATGTGTGATTGCAGCAGGATCACACAATAGGACCCTGACCACATGACACTGTTGACCATAGTCACACAGGTCACACTTTTACAGCTTTTGATAATGGTGAGAACCAAAGGGGGCTACTACTGGTTTAACCTTTGACAATCACTTACAAATCTTAGGATCACTACAGAATTCTTTTTTTTTTTTAACCCTCGGCTTACTTTGACAACCTGTATAAGTAATTTATGGGAGAGGACACATGAAAATACTAAAATATGAATTGAAAAAAACATCGCTACACGTGGATCTTGATTAAATGTTTTACAACTTTTTTTGATTTTTAACTGCTGTCGATGCACAGGCATCCGTTGTAGGCAAGAACCATTACGATACTAATACTAAAAGTTCCTAGTACCAGAATATGAAGTAAAACACAGCTCTAAGGGTAGTTACAACATCACATTCGTAATCTTCAGAAACATACCTTCATGCCTTAATTATCGGTGTTAAGAACGTATTATTTTTTATCAGTAGGTGCCTTAGCATTTCACTAAAAGAACGGTATCAATTTCTTGATGAACCAGACTAATGATGTCAGGTTTGGTTTCCTCATCCACTAACTGTTATTTTCTTGTAAATAGATGGGAAAATTCTAATTAAACCACAACGTTACACTTTAAACCAACAGAAAGTGACAACATCCACTGAACAAAAGTTTGGTCGAGGGGAAAGACAACTACTTTGGGAAGTCAAACCTTGCACAGTGCTCTGTAATGTAGACATTCCAACTAGTCTTAGCTCACAAACATTATAATCCATATTACTTATACTGATAACCTTTTCCCGTAAGAATCTTCAAATGAAAATAAACACAAGTTTGTTTTTTGTCTTTACAAAAGCTACACTTATTCTACTGGGATGTCTATGCATTTGTTAGTGTTTTTAATAGTTACTCCTAACATTATCTTTTATTTTATAAAAACAAAAAAAAAAAAAAAAGAAGCAATGAAATCTACTCATCTAAAAGACACCAAGTAGAGTCTGTCTTTTTCAGTTTGTGTTCCATCTTGCAGGGTGTTGCTTTTTTCCCCATTCTCTACCTTGTATCTTCTCAGTGACAGAGGCAGCAGACGAAAGTGAACTGTTTCTTTTTTAGTCCTTCTGTCCAAACATGTCTTGATTGTGTACTGAGGCTTGGTTGGTCGCCATTGAAAGTTGACCTTGAGTTGTCTCTGCAACAGCTAATCCAGCACCATTGTAAACACTAAATCTTCCACCATGGTCCTTTCTTTTTTAAGGAAAGAAAAGACAACAAACCTTGTCCTCTATCACTGCATTTTACATATGTATATCGCTTTTCAAGTTAAGGTATCATCTGGGTCAGAACATCACACTGCCCTGTGTCATCTTGTTTAGATCTTAACTAATTACATCGACGTAAAACCACGCTTTTCAAACAAATATATTTTACTTAAAATTGTTTAAAACTATATATTCAGATAAAATCAAATGACCTATGGTGAGCTCAGTGACAGCCGAGACTCTCTTGATAACATACAGTACGTAAAAACAAAAGCACTGACTAAAAATGAAATAATATACATAGAGATGTTTCTTTGAGGGTTTTTTTACCCCTAAGGACAATCATCTAGAAACACTTTTTTTCAGACAACAAGGCAGTGATCTACAGTTGAGGGGGTTATGCTGCCTTCAACAGTTAACTCACGCCTTGATTTTATAGCACATAGCTTAGCTGAGGTTCACAGCTTGAAACTGCAGACTAATTACTTTTTCACGTTGTTATATGGCGTAGAAACTTAACGCTACGTATTTGCAAACTGTTCACTCTGTAGAGTGTCTTGTCACAGTCAGCTTTATCGTGATCACTGTCGTGATCTAGGCAGGAAGTTGGAGATTTGTGAACAACAGTATGGTTTCATGCCTAGGAAGAGTACCACAGATGCAATATTTGCCTTGAGGATGTTGATGGAGAAGTACAGGGAAGGTCAGAAGGAGCTGCATTGTGTATTTGTAGATCTAGAAAAGGCATATGACAAAGTGCCAAGGGAGGAATTGTGGTTTTGTATGAGGAAGTCAGGAGTGGCAGAGAAGTATGTTAGTTTGGTGCAGGACATGTATGAGAATAGTACAACAGTAGTGAGGTGCGCTGTTGGGAGGACAGAAGACTTCAAAGTGGAGGTGGGACTACATCAAGGATCGGCCCTGAGCCCCTTCTTGTTTGCTGTGGTGATGGACAGATTGACAGATGAGGTCAGACAGGAGTCCCCATGGACTATGATGTTTGCAGATGACATTGTGATCTGTAGTGAGAGTAGGCAGCAGCTAGAAGAGAACCTAGAGAGGTGGAGGTTTGCACTAGAAAGAAGAGGAATGAAGGTCAGTCGCAGCAAGACAGAGTACATGTGTGTAAACGAAAGGCAGAACAGTGAAATAGTGAGGCTACAAGGAGCAGAGGTGGTGAAGGTGCAGGAGTTTAGGTACTTAGGATCAACTGTTCAGAGCAGCGGAGACTGTGGAAGAGAGGTGAAGAATAGAGTACAGGCAGGATGGAACAGCTGGAGAAAAGTGTCAGGAGTGATCGGTGGCAGAAGAGTGTCAGCTAAGGTGAAGGGAAAGGTTTACAGGACAGTGGTGAGACCAGCCATGATGTATGGTTTAGAGACAGTAGCAATAGGAAGTTGTGAAATGATTGCATTTTTAATACACTCTGGAATGATGTGAATTTTGTTTTCTTCTCCTCAACTCCGGAAGATGTGCCCAACTTAAAGTGGGCAACAGTTCCTGCACTGCTATGCTTTTCTTTCAGCTAGTCTGTGGGTTGAAGTGGAGCATGCCACCCTATCTGAAAAGCAATCATTTCAGGGAGAATGAAACAGCTGTGAACTCTCCCAACTGTCTGAAAATTCAACTCAAAATTCAAAAATCATCCCTCGGCAAATAAAAATGCTGCAATTCTTCATTTTACCTTAAAAACCTATTTATTTTTCTGAAAGGATTTACTCTGTTTGTTTATTATGTGACATAATGGTTTAGAATGTTTCTTCTTTTTCTGCCATGTGGTAGGCGTCTAAGACTGGTGAAATAGTGAGGGACATCCTCAGAGCTGGATCCGGTGAGATCCCCAGACTGCTGTCATCCAGATTATCTTCTGAAATATCTTCTTGGTCTTCCTTTTCTTCATCCGATTGCTCCCTAAGTCCAAAACTTTCTGTTACATGATTGGACACAGATGCCCTGTTGTAGCTTGGGAGTTCAAGCCCATTGACCTGATGTTCTGTTTTATCCTCAGAAAGGCCATTGAAGGTCTGAGTTTGAGATGTAGACCACTCAGCAAACGGTACTTGGGACTCCGCATCACTTACATGCTTCCACATAGACACAGAATCTAGCTTGGTAGCCTTTGAGGTTACATCCTCTTCTGTATTAGAAGAAGATCCTCTTTTACGCCTTGACTTATTAGTGTGGTTGACCTGGAGGTGCATGGCCATCAACTCTGCCGAGGATGTCCGGAAAGGGCAAAACAAACACTGGCTTAGTTTGACTCCAAGTGAGCCCTCATTGTCCTCAACAACTCCTCCTTCTCCTAAATTCATGACTCCATCTTCTTCCATTTCTCCCAGGCCAGGGGAGGGACGTCGAGACAGATCCAGGGGCTCAAATCCACCCTCATGGGACGAAGGTGGAGGCCCTTCCTTTTCACTTGACGGTTGGATCATTCGACTTGTAGTAAGGGGTTTACGACGGGACACTTTAGGGGCCTTTGGTGGCGGAGACTCTCTTATCCAACCACCTTCCATTCCACCTTGGTAAAGTGCTCCCATCATGCCTGAAAGATACCTATACTGGGTGTCCAAGTCAACATCCCTTAAAGCTGCCAGGGCTTTTTGTTGATCCCGCTGGTCTGGAATTCCCAAGAGCCAGGACTGTTGTTGACTTGTGGACAGAGACGAGGGGTTCTCTGCTGGACCTCTGTTGACCAAGCTGTGGTCGATTTGGGATCGGCGCTGCTTGCTCATACCAGAAGTCCCAGAGGCCAAACTGTGAATGGTGGAATTGAGGCCTGAGGAAGAGGAGTTTGACGAGGCTGATTGGGCATTACGTTGCTCCCTGTGGTGCCGTTGGAGGTGGTACTTTAACGAGCCTGACTGAGTTCCTGCGTAGTCACAGTGAGGACATTTGTAGGGTCTCTCACCTAGGAGAGAAACAGGAATCAGGAGACTATTAGACAAAATATTTGCACTCAGGTCAGTTGCTGGTCAGTGTGTTTGTGAATGAAAATTTGTACAAACAAAAGTTGAGCATTATAATTTAATATCATATATTTTCAAGCTATTTGATGAAGAGCTAGATGTAGTAAATTAATTCTGGGAAGTAATTGTGAGTTACAGATGTAGTTGCACATATCATAGGAAGATGGCAGTGTTCCATCACTGAATAAAAAGAGGTGGGGGCTTTGTGCTGGAGGCAAAATCACCACCAGGAGAGAGATTGTGTTAAAAAGAAGACCATGAATTATTTTATTCATAGGAACAAAAACCTCATCAAACAAGATCTTTGGATTTTAGCTGTATGAACAATTGGATTTTTGATTCCCCAAGTGATCAAAAGTCTTAGTGGGTTCATGATATCCTCAAGAGAAGGCTAATATCAGGGTTTTAATAATTTGATGCCTGCATGTCATTTACTGACCATGTGGTAATCATAATGTGTTCTGTGATGATCCCAGCTGAATTAGATTAGAATTCATAAAGTTAATAATACAGCGAGATTATTTTGTGTATTTTTGAACTGGGGGAGACCAAAATATCAGTTGTTGGAGGGCAGAAATGGAAGCTGGCTCTCACTATTCAAATCCATCAAGCACCAGTAGAAAAAAATGGATGATTTGTAGGTATAATGAGTATGGATCATTAGTTAAAAGTGTGAGCAAGTGCTCTGATTCCCTATTTTTCAACTGAGTCCTATTCATAGTCACAACATGCCCACACACTCTTCTTTGTTTAGATCAGTTTTAAAGATCTTTCAAATTGGCTGAGTGTTTCTGCCCTGCAGTCGGAATCAGTTTAAGATTATCTGAGAATAATTTGTACTGCAATAGTTACAGTTTGTCTCGGCTTCAAAAACCAGGTCAGAGGACGATAATCCCTGAAACACATGAGGGATCATGAGAGAAATCTCTAAGCAGAGGTACTCTGATTCAGAACTTTCTTTACTTTGTCTCCACTTTTTTTTAGCCTGATTTTTTTTAACCTTGCAGGGTAGAGAAGCCAAGAGGGGCTTCCAGTAAAATTTCACCAGCTCTATTCCCTGGAGTAACATGATATTTTTCCCCTTTGGAAGATAATGTGAATATAACCTCAAACAAGGCACTTAAGCAGGAGTTGCTCCAGTGGAGCTGTTCAATTGCTGGTCGAGCTGTGCTATGATTAGCACTTGCCAGCTCTCTGAGGTGATGTGTTAAAAAAAAGGAAAACACTAACTTGAAAACCTTTCGAGGGAATCGTGATGTTTTTTTTTTAGAGTCCAAATGGCTTGTTAAACTAGCAACAGTTACTCACCTGTGTGGACTCTCAGGTGTACTTTGAGATGGTGTGAAGAGCGAAATGCTTTACCACAGTAGGGGCAGTCTTTGATTCCTCTTCCACGCACTCGCTCCCTGATGGGAACTGAAGGTACTGTGGAGACTGCTGTCAATCCATTCTCTCCTGCAAACGGTAAATCAGTCAGAAACCAAGAACATAAAGAAAAATAATGGCTCGTTCTAAGGGCCCTTCAGAGACTGTATATTTAAAACAAAATAGCAATATGCTCTTCTGAGAATAACACCTCTAGATGTGTGCAAATAAACAATACCCAATAGAGGAAATAGAAAAGAGGATGTGAATTTTTTTTACCTTTGAAGCTGGAGATGACAGAGTGAAATCCCGCTGCTGCCCCTGGTTGATGTGATCCACCACTGTGCAGTTTTGATTCTTGTCTCACATCAACCTGTTGGGATCCACCGCCATGAGTCTGCGCCTCTTGTCTCAATTCCTTGCTTCCTCCTCTTCCTAACACAACTCCTCTATGATTGGCGCTTCCCTCCTCCCCACCAGCTGCTGCTGCCTTCTGTGGCCTCTGAGCATGAACACGAGCGTGCACCACCACTTGCTGGAAGCTGCGGAAAAGCTTCCCACAGTCTGGGCATTCCCATGGCCCTCCAGCTCCTCCAGAATCTTCTCTTGTTTCCAGGCCACCAAGATAGGCTCTGACTTGGTCAGCCTCAGTAATTACTGACCTTCGACCAGGACCCCGTTGACCTTGTCTCTGCTGCTGCTGTTGCTGCTGTTGCTGCTGCTGTTGCTGCTGCTGCTGCTGCTGCTGCTGCTGCTGTGCAACTGCTATACTGCGAGCTACCAGTTGCCACCATGTTGCTTGTTCTGCATCAGATACTGGTGCTATGCTGTCCTTTGAATTTCTAGCTGCTCCTCTTCCTCGTCCTGTATTGCCTCCATCACCTCCACTTATCCCAGCACCACCGTTTCCCATCTCTGCCACCTGAGCCACTGCTTGAAGTCTCTCCATGCAGCTTGCCCCGCTGCCATCACTGGGCAGTCCCAGGTAGCCGAGAATGGCTGACTTGCTTGAGCCCATCCCTAATCTGGCTCCAGCGCTCCTGTCTGACCGTCCTTGTCCACCTCTGCCACCTCCTCGCTGAGCCAGGAGCAGACTGGAGTACAGAGCGTTAAGAGTGTGATTACTTCCAGAGCCTTTGGCCTGCTGTTCAGCAGTTCCTGGTCCACTGAGGATTCCAAGTCCAGCTTTGAGCCCAAGCTTGTTAAGGTGTACTTTCATGTGGTTTTTGAGGAACCAGGGTTCTTTGAAGCCACGGCCACACACCTTACACTTATGGTCTAGGGAGTCTTTGTGCTTTCTCATGTGTCCCTTAAGGAACCAGGACTGTGTAAATCGCTGCCCACAGATATCACACCGAAATGCTGGCACTGAGGGCGAAGTAGCTACTGCTCCAGCCGACATCATCTGTGGTGTGTTTGCGGCGGGGGCAGGTGTGTTGGTAGGGGTGGAAATAGGAGTCTCAGGGGAGGTAATAATCGGCCTGGAACTAAAAGCAAGTGGCGCGGCAGATACATCTGGAGATGGGTGGCACTCCTGTAAATGTGATGCCAGGCTCTCTTCTTGGCTAGCAGAGAAAGGACAAAGAGTGCATTTGTACGGGTTATGGAGGATGCGAACATGACGTGCCAACTCTGAGGCTGTCCGGAATTTGCCTTTGCAGGCATGACAGCGAAATGCAGGGGCTGTGGGAGTGGATGCAGTCTCACCAACAGTGGAAGAATACGGAGAAGTCACACAAGCAGCATCTTCTGTTAGTGGGGGGGTCAAAGGTGTGCTATCTTCAAGTAAAAAGTTAGGATTGTGGTCAGTCTGGATGTCTTCATCTAGACTCTTCACCTCTCCGTCAACGTCCTCTTTCTCTGTCAGATGTTGAACCAGTGTTCCTGGCAGTAAATGCTGGTTTATTTTGCTTTTGTGATTTTGTACAACATCTTTGTGGTTCTGTTGAATCTTGAGGTGCTGCTTCAGAGGTGCTGAGGGAAGTCCAGACCGGTAGAGGGCAGCTGCTCTACGGTCCCGGTCCAGACTGTGTGCCCGGGAATGAAGAGACAAAATACTTTGGAATCTGAATCTCTTCCCACAAACGTGACAGGGAAACCTGAGTGCAGGCCCGGAAGAGGCCCCACCCACTCCAGGTACTGCTTTGGGAACTGTGTCCTTCTGGAACAGCTGAAGGTCTAGCTCCTCACTGGAGTTCCCACTATGCCCTGAATTGAGGGCCAGCTCCAAGGCTCCAAAGCCAAGAAGTGGTGCTGATGGTGTAGCCGGAGGAGAGCTGTCCAAACAAGGGCTACATCCAGCCTCCTGTCCCCCTCCTCCGGGAAACAGAGCCACCGCTGGGGTGGGTGATGGGGGAACTCCGTCCAAACCTGCCTCATCATCCTCATCGTCCAGATCATGGTGGTTGTTGCTCGTGTCCTCCTGGACAGGGGAGTTAGAGATTGGGAAATAGAGCGATGTGTCTGCGCTCCGGGGAGAAGGTTCAGAGCTGTTTATGGGCAGGACAGGGGGGCTGTCAGGCAGAGAGAGAAGGGTGTGAGGGGACAAGGCCTGTGGACTGTGGTCTAGAGATGGTAGTGTTGGTGGAGACTGGGGTTGTTCACAGGACAGTGAAAACACAAACTCTGGCGGAGAATCCATCCTCTGTTGGTACAGAGCAGAGAGAGGAAATCAGGAGTGAGAAGTTCAGAGAATTTAGTGGTTCCATTTGTCTACAATAGATAAATACATATGTGTACAGTTCCAATTTACCAGCAGTGTGTGCGATATTATGCCATTCTTTGCCGTTTCTACTGATGCAGCAACCTCCTCCTTTGATTTTCTGTGGACAAAAATCAAACACAACGGTGAAAAGATGATGAGATGACGTCCGGACACCAAGCCCTAAATATGAAACACTTGCATAGAAAATGATGTTATGATGAGGCTTCTGTTTAACCAAAAGACTGGGCTAAATAAGTAATATCAGCGTCAGCGCAGGCATGAATGCTTTGTGCAATATTGAGTGATGAACCGCAGGTATCAGATTTTACCATTAAGAGCAATTTGCACCGAGAGTCTTCATCATCAATGCTAATAACGGAGAATCAAATGCACTCTTAATTATGGCAGAGTTCAGGACGTGTATAAAATGAAAATGCAGAGAAGAAGGAAAAAAACAATCACATCTGTATTTTAATCCACGTGCAGGTGGTGGAGGAACGTGCACGTGTGTCTGCTGCCTTAACAGGTGCACACACACCTGTTTCCCACGCACTGTCAGCACATGTGGGACCACCACAACCAGTTCAACCCTGCGCCCACGTCTGTCTGCATGTGTTTAGGAGTTAAGGGCACCAACACTACAGGACATGGACTGTCCCAAACAGGATGGGTGCGCAGTGTTTTGACTTCCCCTCACGCCCTTCCTGTTCACTCCTACAGTAGCAGCTCCTTTTTTGACTAACGTCAGGAGTGCAATCTCCTTCAAATATAGTGTGTTTGTTCCAGAGGTGTCCTCACTCGACAAAAGGAGTTAACCAGATATCCTTTTGATATTAAAGACCACAATACAAATATTTAGTGTAAATCAAGTCACTGGGTTTTAGACAATTGCCTGTTAAATCTTACAAATAAAAAAAGTCGTTTGGAATTTTGTAGTCTTTGTGTAGGCAAGGGGGACAGTTGTTGTTTCTCTTGGCTATACAGGTAGGCAGTGTGTTAAAAAAAACAACTAGTGATTACTGCCAGTATTCAAATGAGCAGAAATAGAAAAGTCAGCACAAAGATGCAAAAGCATAAATATTTAAAGGGACAACCAAAAATAGCCACTAGTATGCAAAGATACAGTCAAATTAGGTCAACTTTGAGAATTTTCTTTCTGAAAGACATTCAAAATGGCCATGGCCAAAAAAGCACAAAAAAAGTTCAAAATTGCTATCCGTAATATTGAAAAATCTAAGGAAGTTCAAATTTAGCCAGAAAATGTTGGCCATAACCTAGAACAGATATTTACAGAACACCATAAATATACCCTAGACATATTTAAACAATTAAATGGCGTAAAATTTAAAAAAATAAAATAGTCCTTTAAGAATATAATTTTTTTTTTTTTTTTACAAACTATATGTTGATAGCAACTATAGCTGCAAATTAGCCCAGTTTAGACTTAGTCAAAGTTGGCTGCAAAAATGCTCAAACTTAAACGGATAATAGCTAGAAATGGATCTGAAATAACCTGTTCACACGGAGCAGCTGCTCTTCTAGTCTACTTCCTGGGTGTGGTGTCGTCAGGGTTAGTTTATTTAGATAACCTGCAGATGAAGACTTAGATAGTTCTTTTTTAAGTGCTGTTTTCTCTCTCTCTCTCCCTCCCCCTCTCCCCCTCTCACTCACACACACACACACACACACACACACAAAAGAATAACAAGAGTCAGCTAAAACATAAAAGTGTAATATACAGCAAAACTGGTCTCATGAAGCAGTTTGGCAAAGCACGCTGTCCCTCACTCTCTCACACACACACATACAAACACACACATTACCGAGTCCACAGCGTTTTACATGGACTAGATTGTGTTGATGCACAGCCACTGTTTTTGTCAGTCATTTTTTTATATATATGTTTATAATTTGCAGGAGACGCCGCCAAGACGTACACAACATAAACAAAAGGTCATCAATCACTGTGGAAAAACAATGGAACATCTGTGTTTGCAGGTGTGTGTCGCCCACATTTGTGTTCGCATGGCGGCCAGAGCACTTAAGTGTTTATGTGATGCCTGATTGTGTGTGTGATTGTGTGTCTGTGCCCGGATGACAAAGAGATTCTCATGTAGCTGGTTGACATTTTAGCTCAGCTATGACTCACAGGGATATCACAGCCTATCAGTCACATAAACAACCACAGGCGTGCGCGCACACACACACACACACACTCAGACTCAGTTCTTTTCTTAATCCTCCATTATTGTTCCCTGTCTTCCTTTTGCTGTCTTTCTGTCTGTCTTTCTTTCTCCTCCTGATTCATACTCCTCCCATCCCCCTCTCTGCCTCCCTCCCTCCCTCCCTCTCCCTCTCTTTTCTCTTTCTCTCCTGCGGTGTTGCCAGTTGGCCCGGTGCCAGGGAATGCTGATATCAGCTGGTAGATTGGGCCCTGCCAACATGGCGAGGAGCAAGAAATGGAGAGAGAAAATATGAGAAAGAAGGCAGACGTAGGGGGAAAGGGGGAAAAAAGAGAGAAAACAGATACAATTTTGATACAAAGTGGGCAGAGAGAATAACGAAGTCGAGTGAATGACAATGATCTGGTGTGGATTGCAACGTGGTGTTAAAATTGGAGGAGGGCGAGGGGATACAGAAGGAGACCAAACACAAATTAATAAACACACACACACACACAGGAAGAAGAGCAAAAAAGAGGAAGTGAGGTCGATGTTAAGTCTGATGACATTTTCATACCAACGCTTTGTTTCCAGCCCTAACGGCAAGAGCTGCCAAACACCGACCCCTGTCATGCCGGTGTAAGAAAATGCAGAGAGATAAGATGCAGCACAGGAGGCAGGGAAACGGGAGGGGGGAGGTACGGGGCCACATTAATTGTTAAAGTCCAGACGTGACTGGCGACACATTTGTCCACGCTGTTAAAGATCAGAAATGACACGGAGAATAATACAAACGTTGGGAGTGGAATTAATGAATGTAGACATTAAGGCACAATCGGTTTACAAAAATCTTCATCTGTGTGCTTGGTGTCTTCCACCGCTGGTAATCTAGACTCCAAACTGTCAACTGGAGTCTGGTAATCTAGACTCCAAACTGTCAACCATTCAAAGTTCTCATCATATGGCATGCTCTGTTGTCCATTCGCTCTTTAAACTGCTCTGTTATTTACAAATCTGACATCTGGTTGTACTCGAGCAGACCCTGATTGAAACCATAAAGTCGTCAGAAAATATTTATCTACATAATAAATCGGTCAGGAAGTATCTTTGTTTCCCCCATAGACAACCTCTGTTCTATTTTCAAGACTTCACTTGTGAAACCTGAAGGCTGCGTCCTCTTCTGAACGCCGTCTCTTTATCAAATTCCTAGGGTGTGACATCATAGCAGTTTGACACTGTGTTGCTCACCAAGAAATTCAAAAGAGTACAAAATGAGACAGTAACACTGTTGTGTGCTGAAGTTATTCATTGGAGAATGTATACAAAGGATCTTGAATGTCGGCCGTTCAGACGACGTAAGAATAGAATGTGTCCTTTTTTGCCCTTTTCTTTTTTCGTAGATGCTGTTGCCTGTTGGGAACCTTTTGGTCGGCTGGTTTAGCTCCACGATCAGAGTTAACCTAATGAAGTTATTGCTGCTACCTTTGGAATTAGTTGCCTTGCTTGCTTCAACTTGAGGAGTTTCTTTTAAAGAAAAGAAGGCTTCAGGTTTTAGAGCACTCAGACTGCCTGATTATAATGCTGCGTTAGACTCCTGGGCCCCGTGTAGCACAGATTAACCTTAAAATGTCTTTTAGTCCATTAGTTCAGGGTGGTAGTGAAACGGGACACTTTGAGGTTGGCAAGCAAAGCTCAACCCTACATAAAAAGAGACAAATGGTAAATCAGAGAACCATAAACATTTGTGATCTCATCACTAGACCTCAAGGCTCAACCTTTGGCGGTATAGATCAATTATTTGATTGTGATTGTATTTTGTAGAACTCACTTTATTTTTAGCCGTTTCAACCAACATTTTACTTTTGTCTTCTTCTTGTGTGTGTTTTTATTATTAGAGCTTTTTTAACTGGCTTTATTTGAGTATCAAGAGCTTGTACACGTACCCCTGCTGCGCCACCATGTTGTCATTAACTGTAATGGCACTTTGTGAAAATAAGATGCTACACCTGAGATTAAGTGTAAAGTAATAGAGGACAGTTCCCCCCCCACTCCCCCTCCCCCAGAATTGGTTTAATCCCACTAGTTGCTCCCACGCTGAGTTTATATGATAAGGTGTGTTTGGAGTAAGGAGGTGTATACTGTATGTGAGTGTGTTTATTGTAGTTGCTGAGTCATACATCACGTCCCTGATAAGTAGCTGCCATGGGACTAAAAGCACAATGTGTTCAGACAAGTTTTATATTTGGGAGGTAGGAGAAAAGACGAGTTTTTTTTTTTCTCCCCATCTCATTCTAAAATGATTGTGTAAATATCCACTCAGCGGGAAAGCTTTATTGTCAAATGCAGGTCTGAACTTGTCAGGAAGCTTCACACGTCATGGTCGTAAATGTAAGGGTGTGAACAGCTTCCATTTACTGGTTTTATTTTTACTATTGTGTACGTGTGGGCAGGAAGTTGACGGTGTTTATATACGTCTACGACTTTAAATAACGATTCCAGTATAAATACCATTCCATAAGCTTCGTGCTGGATGTCAACCAGAGTATGCAGCCATGCCGTGTCTACTCCCTAGCACCTCATTAAGGCTTGCATAATTACGACTGTGTGCTGGTAGCAGTGTCATCTCTACAGATGGTTCAGTTTACGGTGATGATTACAGGCCCAAAGATGAAAAAATTACTCAGCAGTATAAAAAAAAAAGCCAAATGTAAAGAGAAAAAGGAAAAAAGATGAAACATACATTTCAATTTTTAATATAGAACATTTTCTATCTAACTATCTTGAATAGTTTTGTTTTTGGCTATAGCTGTAGCTGTTTTAACGTATTGTTGGCCGTCTTTAAAATACGTCCGAACTGATATTATCTAACTTTAAGGGAAACATCTACTTGCTTCATTATTGATGTTATTTTGTTCAAGACTAACTTGACTGATCAACTGAATCATTTCAGCTATTTTTATGTTCCTGCCTACGTTAACTATTTTTTTTCTGTGTGCTGTCTAATTTGATCAACATTATATTCTGCGGTTTTAGTTGTTTTTGGGCTAACACTCAGATTTCCAATACCAACTTTTACTGCCGTTTTAAATAGTAGCTATTTTTGGGCTGTATTGGTTAATTTTGGCTAACTTGAAGCTAGTTTGTAACTTCTATTTAATTTTGCTTAGCTAACCTTGGTTAGTGTTCAGCTACTATTGTCTCAATTTACTTTATTTTGCGACACTTTTGCCTATTTTGGAAGTGAAGGTTTTTCCGTTCCTTGTGTGTACTGCTGTAGTACTCA